ACTTCAGCTGTTAGCAGCTCTGCTTCTGCTGTGATGCCAGAATCTAGTGAAGTACAGGGTACAAAGGGACAGTGCAGACCACTGGGTCACACATTTTCTCCACTGTGTTACAAAGGCCTCTGGTCAAGGTGCAGGGGATAGGAACGAAGCGTCAACACCAGATGAAGTTACTGGACCTTTATAGAAGGAAAGAAAGTTGTGGCAGTGAATATACTGACCACCCCAAATGTAAGAGAACATATGCAAATTAAGCCCACTTTTCCCAAAAGTGGTATTTTTTTTTTGTCATAGCAAGGACATTTGTGATATTCACTTCTGATGGAAATACCAAAAATAGCTAATTTTATATCAATTAATGAGAAAAGTGTTCTTTCTTTGTCTCCTCTGCTTCCATTTGCTTTTATAAAGTTACCATTTTTTTCTCCTAACCCATCTAGAAGGTGTTTCAGGAAACTTATTTACTGTGCAGATGATGGAGCACTGGAGCAGGCTGCCCAGAGAGGTTGTGGAGTCTCCTTCTCTGGAGACTTTCAAAACCCTCCTGGACTTGTTCCTGTGTAGCCTGCCCTAGGTGAACCTGCTGTGGCAGGGGGGATTGGACTACATCTCCAGAGGTCACTTCCAAGACCTACCATTTTGTGATTCTATGATTTTGTTCAAGTACAGTTGTTTTTACTGAGATTTTAAATTCTGTCCAGAAGGATGTTTGGCACAAATGCAAAGAAAAGGAGAAGGTTGTTGTCCCTTTTCTTTCTTTGCCCTTCTTCGTTCTTCCTTGCAGTATAAATATCAAGCAAAATCAGTGCTGTTAATCTTTTCTGGTTGTGGCAAAGTTACCTCCAAAATATGTCACCACAATGGACAGTTAATAATGCAGCAAGAGTTTTTGAGTACTAGCAGAAAATTATCCACAGAGGAATAAAATTTTACTCATTTTCCCACAAAATCAATGTGACTGTTACATTAACTGGTTTTCATATTTTTCTCCTTAAAAATTATTTGACCACTGGACTTTTCCTGAGACTGCACTGATCCTTTTTTGTACCTTTCCTTTCCTTTCCTTTCCTTTCCTTTCCTTTCCTTTCCTTTCCTTTCCTTTCCTTTCCTTTCCTTTCCTTTCCTTTCCTTTCCTTTCCTTTCCTTTCCTTAAGAGTCAACTTTTCTTTTAAGCTTAGTAAATTCTCCATTTGCCATGCTAAATATTCCAGACAAGGAGATACTTGTCCAAAGTATTTCTGCTGTTGCAATGCACCCTGACCTTTGAAGCAGGGGGCGTTTGAGGTGTCACAAGCCCTCAGCAGGCGAGACGCCGCTGGAGCACAGCACAAACTCCTTCACTCCCCTTTCATGCTATGACTTTGTGATATCACAGTAACTTATGGGACCTGCCTTAATGGTTGCTTTATGGACTTTGGCTGCAAGACTGTTTTCTTCGCTCTTGCAGAGAGAGCAGATGTGCTTGAAATCAAGTTTCACACTTAAAAGCCTGTCTATGCAGTTATCAAGAGTAAAGCTCTGACCTCTTGTTGCTCATATTTCTGTAGCCCCGGTGACACCAGCTAGTCTTTTTTGCTCCTGTGGAAGACCCTGACCATGCCAGAATGTGCTCATCTCAGCAGCTCTGAAGTGTGGACTTGATTTTTGCTCCACCTGCCACCTCAGGCATTTTTGTGCTCAGCTGTAAACTCCCAAGCTGGTATTTCTCTTGTTTTGCCTTACAACAAAGTAGACAGAATACCTCAGCAGCTTGTCTGTAGGCAATCCATGCACTATCAGCTACTGTGTTTTGCTAGTTTGAGCATCTACAATTCAAATTCACAAGACTGTCCTGCACAAAGAGAGCTGGCCACCACTTCCCCCTTCCTTTTCTCCTTATGTTTGCTATCCTAGCTGAAGCCTGGAAGCTACTGAAGATCTCCAGAGGCTGGGGGAACTGCAGTTTTGCAGTAGGTGGTGGAGATGGCTCTGCTCTTCCTCCTTGCTCATTCCCCAGGTGGCATCTTTTAACAGATGCTGCTGCAGCAGAGAGAAGAAAGCACCCAGGAATAGTTTAAGGTCTGCTTCTGCCACGTGAGTCAGGAGACTTTTAAAGGTGTGATATTTCCTCCTCCTAGGGCAGGGAGAAAGGCTACGTACTGTGTGGGGAATGCATGACATTTAGGTCTTCACTTCCTATTCTGGTAAGAGTTTTGACTCCATGCAAGAAACTCAACCCCAAGACAAGGTTCAGGAAGAGATGCACACATGATGCTGCTTTCCTTGTGTGGTGGGGTAGGAATCAGAGTTATTTTCCTCCTCCCAGGTGCTGGCAACTGCTGCTGTTGTCAGCACACTGCTGGCCATGGTGGACATGAAGGACAGTCAGACCAGAGTATATTCCTGGGTGAAAAGACCTTTCAGACTTCCAAATGCAATTTCATATAAACCAGTTTCATAACTGATGCTTTCCACACTGTCTCCCCATCCTGCATATCCTCAGTCTGAAAATGATTCTCAAATATACAAAACTTTTCTGCTGCTGCATGGATGGGGACATTGTACCCACTTCCTACTGAAAAGAGCCAAGCCATCAGTAGATGGAACCTCCCACCAGTGCTGAGGAGACAACAGCGTTGTCTCTCTGCTTTGCCTATGGGAGCTGGCAGCAGTGCTTTTATGAAGGCCTGGGCCAAACCAACAAACTCTCTTGTGCCTTTTCAGTAACAGCAGTCTCAGAGGAAAAAATATGACAGGAGGAGTGAATAAATCCTAAAGGCTGAGCAAGGTGGTCTCTATTTGTCAACCTTAAATTGAACACAAATATGGGTTTTATTTTCTCTCTCTGTTCCTTGATTTCTGCTTTCAGTTTCTTTATAATATCAGGAATAGGTGGGTTTAGACTCTAGAGAGCCTTGAATTTGTTGAGCTCGTCTTATTAAGGCTAAATAAGCACAGCTCCCTGAGAGAGGACCTCACACTGATAACTAAGCCAGATTAACCACAGTTTGCTGTGCTGTGGTACCTCGGCTGGCCGCAGGCACACCCACAGATTGCGGCACTGATTTTGCAGGAGATGATTCTGCATGGCTGTGTGCTACAGCGGGTAATCAGGGTGGGCTCCTCTTATGTGCCTCTGCTCCCAGATCCCCATGGGCTCTTGAATATTGTTCTGCATCATTTTTCCTTTCTGTATTCAGTAACTGCACTTCATTTCCTTAATGAGACCAACCTGCAAAATTAGAGATTTCAGCTGGAGAATATCAAACTCATACTGCATATAAGCAATCAACTCCCTATCCCTCTTTGCCTTTGGCTCAAAAATTATATTCGTTTGGAGTGCAGTTATGTTTTGTGCTGTAACATCATATTTTAAACCCCTTATAACCTGAGAATGACAACCTGGTGTCATGGGTACTGCCTGTCTCAGAAGAGTGAGACATACTACAGCAGTCCATGTTTGGTGTTGACAGTCTTAGCTCTGGGTATGATGTAACATAACAAACGTGCAAGGAGCTATTGCTTCAACCACATGAGTAAGTTCAAGCAGCAATCAACATAGACGCTTCACTAACAGATGTGAATATAGGACTATAAAAGGAGAGTGAAATTTTCTTTAATATGTTTGCATAGGAAATTGTGATTTAAAAGAATTAGTCCCTTGCACAGTTATTTGTTCATTTGTGCCTGTGTAATTGACTTTTAAGCACATTTAGTCTGTTAAAAAGTTATTTACATGCTTAACTGTATCTTTGCTATCCATACTCCTCATGTGTAAGAAGTCTGACAATTAAAGCCAAGATTTATTCCACATGTTTGCAGAAGTGAGCCCACAGATGGTTGTTAATTTCCCTTGGCACCCTTATAAGCCAATATGTTTCTGTTACTTTATTTAAAAAATAAACACTATATATTTACTTAATTTTATTTGACGTCATAATTCCAGGTTTTGCTTTGGCCTGCAAGGGCTCAGGGCCCTCGGGGTAGCTTTCCTCATTATTAAACAACAGTTATACAGCTGTAGTTAGTGAATTATGCTTGAAGACACGCATAACAAACAAATGCACAGCTGTTTCTATAACAAAGTGAAAAACACACCTTTACAGTGAAAAACGTAGTTTTCCAAATGGAAAGTATGAAGTGCAGTTCAAAATTGATACCTTGTTCTGCTATTTTGTCCTTTCTTTGAATGAATGAATAATGTCTGCATTCTAAAGAGGAAAATCATGAGAAACGGCATTCACAACAAAGTGGGTCAGAGATTGCTGCTGCTTTTAATATTTCTTTCATTTCAGTTAATGTTTGAAATTATTTGAAGGGCAGAAATGACTCCCAGCGGGGCCTGGCCATACGCTCGTGGGCCAAGCCCTGGGAGCTCTCAGGCTTCTCAGCACATGGACGTGATGGTCTCACCTCTCCATTTCCAGACGTTTTCAAAATACCCTCCTAAGGTTGTCCTTTACCACAGCCCTCATCTCAGCCCAGGGCCTTGTAACTGTCTAAACCAAAAAGCTGTCCCCAGTGATGTTTTCATATGTGGTTTGCTTTCAATCCCACCTTACATGATTGTTTATCTTTGGCAGCAACTGTGTAACTGAAAATTTGGAAGTCTAAAACATGTGAAGCACGATTTCTTCAGCCAAAGTTTCTTCACTGCAGAATTTGCTCCTGCACTTCATATTACATATTTTAAAGTGTAGTGCTGGCTGAAGGAAGCAGATAAGAATCCAATGACTGGTGACAGAATTGGAAGATACATTGTATGCAGTCAGCTCCATATTTGCACAACAGATTTAATTATGTGGTAAAATTATTTTGTCAAGTTTTCATATTTATGCTTTGACTATTCATCATCAGGTTTCTGTACGCATTTTCGAAGGGGTGTTTTTCAGTCTGGTCCAAGCACTGCTGAACTGCTCTGATTTGTTGGATATGTCACTGTAGTTGCAATGCTTTGCTGCTTTTTTTTTCTTTTGCATTTTTATGCTCTGAAAGTAACATCTTTTTCTTTATCTTTTTTAAAGATAAAGACATTCCCTGCTGATACATCTAATCCTTTTTTCGATCCTTTTACAACAGTACCACAGTTTTCTGTAAGTAGAACATGCAACTAAAAAACTGTGTATTTAAGACAATTCCAACTGACTTTTTTAAGTGTCAGAAATCTATGTGCTAAGCAGTCCTGAAAAAAAAAAAAAAAAAAAAAGAGAAATTCCAAGTAGAAATTGGAGTGCAAATGAGTTGGAAATTCCCATTATACAAATAATGAACTTGCCTGCAGTCAGACATTGCTGCTTACTAGACAGAGGACTAGAAGTTAAAGTTTGAGGCTTACCACTAATGTGGTTGCTCCCAAAATGTCGTTCAGTTCAGGACTGTAGAGAGGACATTTGTCAAGCTCCATAGTATCTTTCCAAAGAGCAATAATGGAATGGGAAGACTCAGTCCTCTGTCTAGCAATTGCATGGCCTCCTGCCTGAAGCTGCCTGCTGTGGCATCACAAAGAGGGCCCTGATTTTCATTGAATTTACATTCGAATTTTAAGGAAGAATTATAGTTAGTGTGTTGGTGACTACAGTGGTAATCTTGTATAAAGTTCCATGTTTACTTCATAACTTGGATCGAGAATTGAACTTAATTCTTGTTAAACTTCCACAGAAGTCAGGATTTAGAGGTTTTGGTAAGGTAAACTACATACAAACAGGAAACAATTATTTGACAATTTAAAAAATAAGTCCAATCTAAGTCCCACTTTAAGGGTAAAGGCATTATGTAATAAGTGACAAGATGATATACTTTATAAGAAACACCCTCTGATTATAATTATAAACCACAGTAACTGACTTAGAGTTTTTCAATTACATTCACAAAATGAAGCATTTCAGACTTTAACCTTAACTTTTTCTGGTAGTAGCAATCTTATGTGGCAAATAATAATAAGTAACTGCAGTCATTGTTGGGCCATGTTCAGTAACTGTCTGCATTTAATGATTTAAAGAAAGAAGCTTTTCTTTCACAAGAAACTTGGTCATGGGGCTTGATCTAAATGTTGTTTTTCTCCAAATAGGTATTTTAAATCCACAGTTAGTTAGGCTTCCAAGATGTTTCAGTGCCACTGTTGAGCTCTAATTAAAGACGTCCCAAAATGCATGAGAATGTGTCAAGAGCAACTTCACTAGGTCAGCCAAGTCCAGATAGTACAGTTGTGGTTAAAGCTAAACCAAAACAAACAAACAAACAAAAAAGTTCTGAATAGCTTTCCCACTAATTAGTAACAATTATGAGGAAATTATTTTTCTGCCTATTACAATTAGGATTAAAGCAAAATTTAGGAGGGCTATATAATATACCTTTTCATCGCTGGGCGGATAGAATTTTAAAATATAAACAGAAGCTACCCTGATATCCTTACTCACAGAAATTTTCATCCTGCAGAAAATGGTTGCTTCATGGCAGATTCCAATGTTAAGATTTTTGTCATGCTCTGTTGCGAGAGAAGCAGAAAAGTAAAATTCAAATCTTTCTGAAATTCCCTCTTCTCCCCATAGAATGCCATTTCTTGGGCAGAGTGGAGGGCAGAATCCAGATCACGAATATTTAAAATACCATTACTATAAAAATCTAATGGCCTGTGAGCCTTCATACAATTCCATACATCCCTTTTAGTGAGTTATCTAAAAACATCTGTGGTAAATGAGAAGCTACCTAGAGGACTGCATAAAGATGGGAAAACTATTAGGAAGATTAACTGGACCTTGGTCCTGTGTTTAATGGTCCCCTGTCCCAGCCCAAAGAGGCGTGCTGCTCACCAGCAGCGTTTCAGTTCATCCTCATACACGGGCTCTGCTGAGGGCTTCAAGCTATAGCCACACCACAGGCAGGAGCTGTAAGGGAAAGGTCTAGATCAGTGCTGGGACTTGCAGGCAGATCTAGCTGCAAGTCACACACAGTCTCAGATGGTAACATTCTTAATCTTTTTCCTTTTTTTTTTTGTTTTTTTTTTGCATTTGTTTTTTTTTTTTCTTTTCTGTACTTCCTCTTCAAAGTTTTGGTTTTTTTTTTTCCTTTGGTTTTGTTTTCTTGCTTGGAACAAAACACTGAAATGTGTTTGAGGGGAAAAACATTATAAATGGTGACATTTGGAAGGCTTTAACTTTTGTGCAGGGCTTCTAATTTGTTGGTTTACATGTAGTTGTATTGATTTTGTCAGGGGAAAAATTAGAAAATTTGGTTGCTTGGAGTATTTGAAATAAGCTTCAGACCAGGAACCCCTCTGAATTTCAGAGATTTCCACAAAGAAATGGCAGGCTTGGTGACCATATTCTCAGGATGGTATGAGTCACATAGATTTAAATTAATGAAATTATATCTGTTTATACCAGTTAAATATTTGGCTCAAACATGCTGTTCAAATAGATATATATAAAAAAGATGCTTTGGATATGCACTATAAAACCATTATCCAGAGCAAACCCACCTTGGGACTCAGGACAAAACTTCAGCAAGTGTAATTTGTCATCGCCCTGCTGATTTCAGTAAGAATTTACATCAGCATCACAGAGTGATGCCTCCTTATCATGCTGTCAAGTAAGACCTGGTAGTCTTAGGAGGACAGGGGCCCTGAATGAGGAACACCAAATCTGATACCCCTGCAGCTTGTAAGGTTGAGTTTTAAAAGTAAAACAAAGAGAAGTCTGAACAGGTTATATTAGCCAGTATTTACACATATAATTGGCCAGCGTTGGAGAGCGAGTTTCTTTAGCTGGTTTTACAATTTCCATTTTACTAATTTTGTGGAATAATGGAATTCCTTTTGCTTCAGAGGTTGTTTGGGGACATGTCAGATGCATTTAAATGAAATGTGAGCAGAGGCATGTTAATAAATAACAATAAATAAGCAAACCTAACACAGCCATTCTTTCCCGGGCTCAAATAATTGTCCCACTGATTAAGCTATTTGTTTGTGTTTAGCCTTGATCCTGTATGGCTTGCAGAATCTGAGAAATAATTAAGAAAAAAAAAAAAGTTGCTATTCAAATAGCTGCTCCCTTATGATGGTGACTTTTCCTTCGTCCTGCCTTAAAGTCTGAACCAAGTTCAGAGAAAAAGTTGTCAAGAAAGAAATGCAGCTGACACCGGTAGGAGCATATCCTAGTGATCCCGGTGCACTGACAGACTGCGGTTGCTCTGTGCTCTTCCAGGTCCAGGTCATACACACACCACAGGCACTAGCCACTGTGGTTTGGCATGAGAAATAGTCCATGCCAAAAAGCAAGACAGGGCTGGTTTATTTTTAGGCATCCTCCCCCTCCAGTTGTATAGGCTGGCCCAGTCTTCGGTGTAACACTGCAGCGCTGCTACGCCTCACCCGAACGACAGGAGCTGGGCACTTGCTGTTCGTCTTAAACCCGCACTTCCCGCACTGCTGCAGCCTTGCCTGGCACTAGACACTGCAAGACTAGTTCTCTTGAGGCGTGTTCCAGTTAGCAAATGTGGGAAAAGGGTGGGCACTTTGAAACCTGGACTCCTACAAACGCAGATTCCTGGCTGTTACGAAACACAGAGTAGTCAGAGGACCCATCAGCAAATTGTACAGGACTGCTGAAGAACAGTTCAGAAAGCTCCTGTGGTCAGCACGTGGCATTATTCTTAGGGAAAACACAATAATGATAAGGGGCATTCTCCAAACTGATTGTCTTTTATTCAAATGCTGCCAATCCCATACATGATGTTAAATCTCAGTGCATGGTGCCATCAGGCCTGTCCCTCAGACACAGTTCTGAAATAGCCATCAGAAGAGGTGGCTGTTCAGCACCTACGGAGGTTGCACTGTGCAGCTATAGCTACAGCCTCCTGCTTGTTCATGTTAGTTAGTGCTTGTTAGTTGTTGTTACTGTTTGGCAGTGAATTAGATGGTGAAAGGTAGCAAGAGAGGTAGAAGCTAACCTACATGTTTTCTTTCTGTTTCTGTATAATTTTGGTTTTTTGTAGGCAGAGAGCAAATTACAGTGCTGTGCCGTGCAGTCCTCTCCGAAGATAACGCTGGTGACACCGTCGCCCGTACTGAGGTCTCTGGCAGAGACTGTGCCAACTCCAACCGTCCAGACGATATATACGGCGCACAAGCCCATTTCGCTGGCAGACAGGTACTGCATGGCTCCTTCACAGGAATACTATGATGCTCTCTGCATTAAAGGAATCAGCTTGATTTCTCTTTTTTATCATAATCACCATAAAGTGCCATTTCCCCTGATACCAAAAGATTTCCAGTTGCTTCTTGACACCTACTTCAGAATAGGTGGGTTATGTAAAGAAATATCTGTAACTCATATCTACTCTGAGAAAAAAAAGTCCTGCCTTCATGAACTGCTGCAGCCAGCAGCGTACCATTTCTGTGGCCAGTGGCCTGGGAGAAAGGCTTGTGCAGATTCTCCTCAGGAGTGTCATTTTCTCTGAACCACAAAGGTTTTTATCATAATTGCTGTTGCAATTTGTTTTGTGAAATTAAATGTCCATGAAGGAAAGCTGAGGTTGAGAAATGTCTACTCTTCTAAATTAAAAACAGGCACTGGTTTTCTCTATTTTTCCTTTTCTTTTTTTTTAATTTTCTTTTTTTTTAGCAATGTCTAACTGCAGTGATCTTTCTTGTAGTTTCTAAGGGAAAAAATAAGCCATCCCATTTTTCCACAGGCAGCCTGCTTTCAGTTTTCTATTCTTTCATCCTACCAGTTTTGCATGCTGTCTTCTTATTCTAGAATTTAAGCAAAGCTGAATTTTCAGTAAAATACAAATGTAGGAGTGGATATACTCAATTCTTCTGAAGTATAAAAAGTCTTAGGCTTATGTTGAAGAGAAAAGTATTTCTTTGGTGTCAGCATAAATGAGCCTTTTTTTCACTCATGGATTCACAGTCAATTTCCATTTTAGTTTGTCTTCTTTTTTTCAGATGTTGGTTAAATTGCACGTGCACACTTTTTCAGCACTGCTATCTCATCTAAAAATTTGTCATTCCAGTGAAAATAATTCTGAAGCTATAGTGCTGAACTCAGCCTCTGTAGGATGTCTCAAGTGCAAGTGGGTCATTCCATCCCTACTTGTCCATGAATGGGCTGCAAGGTTTCTGCACTGCAGTTTAAATCTCCAAACTGTTTCACAAACATGAGATACTTAACTCTCAGAGCAATGCAATAGACAGGGTTTTTTTTCCCCACACTATTTATTGAGAAGCGGTGTCTCTAACCCAGGGCAATCCCAGTCCTGCAGAATCTGTGGGCTCTGGGGTGATTCAGTGTGTAAGAGTAAGGATTTAGGCTCTGCTTCCCACACCCCGATGTGTGCAGGACTAGTAAATTCAGCCCATATTGATGTCCACCAGTATCAGACCATGCTGAGGAGCAGGTTGTAACACCAGTCTTTTGTGATGAAATTTACTGTATCTGTTTCAGTTTTAGAGTCCTAGTCCAGCCTGAAATCAGTAGCCTTTAACAGGGGTGAGATTAAACCCTAAACTGTTTTGCCATATGGGTCTTTTAATGTCCTTTTCCATGCTTCTGTTCGGTCTTTAGAAATACCAAGTGGTATTTGTTTTTGAATCAGCCATCCGTTGCCATCAGTTATCAGCCTTTTCACTGAATCGAGTCTGACCTTTTTTCCCCTCCTTTGATATTTTGAAAATGTTAATTATTTTAAATTGAAATCTGAGACTTATTGTTGTGCCCATAATTGGCTGTTTGTGCATTAATTATACAGCGCTGAGACTCTGAGGCGTGAACTTGAGAGAGAGAAAATGATGAAAAGACTCTTGATGACAGAATTATGAAACTCGCACTTCCGTCAGATGGAGAATGGATTGGGGCCTTCCATGTGCCTTCTGTCTGTTTACATTCCTCTGCTTCTGTGTACTCCACGTGATGTGTCGGGAGAACGTGTGGTATTCCTGGCTTGACTGGATTCACCACGGTTGGCTGAAGTGAAGTCTAAGCTAGACTTTAACTTGAAGGTGTTCCTTTATTCATTTGCTGCTGGGAAACAAACCTTCAATCCTTTATTTCTCCTGAGATTTTATACTATTAACACAATTAATTTCAGGTTCGGTTTTGGTAAATCTAGGGCAAAAAGGATCAGCAAGGAGCATACTGATTTCTATTGGGAAACACTGTTCTGTACATATGTTAATAAGTGCACAGAAATTAATGTTATGCAGAATATTTTGATAGTAACATAGAAAATATGTCATTTTGTACAACTGAAAATTGCAACGAGCTACTGCTGTTTGTTAAAGAACCATTTTTAAAGCAGAAGAATGATTATTACATCCTAACCCCAGGACTGTTAGTCTCCACAGAAAAATAAATGGCTGTCTTATTAAATTCCTAACCTTTACCTTCACTCAGAGATATAAATAGCTGCAAGGGGGAAAGACGCCCCACCATACAGGTATACGCACCCAACACTCCCTATAGTTTGTCATCTTGACCTAAACCTTCAACTAAATCTTACTGTATTTACCTTAATGAAAAAAATCAATTGTTTAAAGCAATTTGCTACTGACTTTCTAGCTTGATACTGACTTTTTTAAACAAAGAAAGGTTTTCCCTTCTCCAGATTGCCTAGGCATTAGGGCTTGCTCGCACTCAGACAGCTTCTGCCCCAGCACTGAAGGCTGCAGAGCCTCGGTGGTGTGGATGTAGCTTGCCCAGGGAGGACTTTTTCCTTCCTGTGTAGATAAACCACCTTCCTGACTGACGTGAGTTGACTGATCACTTTAAAGAATAATAACAATGATAGTTTATGGCATAGCTGTGTCTATACCCATTTTTTCACTCTACTAATCAGCATGTGTGTACTGACAAACAGTACTGTGAAGGGTTCTCCTGGCTATACGTCCCATTCACCTCTAGCACGCAAGCAGCTTCTACGTCCAGTGGAGCTATCTCAGGCATCAGGTGGGGTGGATGGCCCAGCACTAGGAGAACTGCAGCCCGAGGGAGGGTGTTTGTGGTGTACAGGTAATGCTACCAACTATTTCCTAGGCAAAAAAAAAAACAAAACAAAACAAAAACAACAGAAGAAAGTTCTCCATTTCCCCCTGCTCAGATAGTGCAGGGTCATCTAGAAAGCTACCAATGACTGACTGTCAGCTACAAGGTACTCTTCCAACAGGAAAGTTTTTTTGCGTTCTGTATGGCTGAAGATGTATATTTTTCTGTTACTCTGTACACTATGTTCTCTTCTTTGTATTAAGATAAAAGATTGCCCTTAATTTGATACTGATTATGATGGCTTTATCTCAGCTTAAGCAGTTTGTTTTTGTGGAGGCTGGGAATTGATTGCTGTGAGACTGGATTTCCTTCAGGGCTAGCTTGTGCTCTTTTTCTGAAATGAGAATTCTTGAGAGCATCTCAAGACTGTGGATTGCAACGTGGAGGTATAAAGTGACTCATCTATTTTATATTTGCTGGGACAAGAAATTAGTATTAGCCTCTCCTGTTAAATTTACCAGACCCCAAACTTCACGGTTGCCATAAAACGGGGCAAAATAAACAGCACAACTGTTTGTTAGGTAGGAACTCACAATATAAAATATAAGTAGCCCGACATGAGCAAGGGGCACAAGGAGCCATAGAAACACATTTGGACCTCAAATCTCAGAATGCAGCGTACACTAGAGGTGTACACTCTCCACCGAGTTACCGTGCCAGGACACTTCTGTTCCTTGTATTTTAGTGTACAGCTCCATTAATCCACGTGTATTAAATATGGATTAGTAACTTTAAATCCCTGTGAAGAAATCTGAAAGGAGGGGAGAATGCAACAGACACAAAAGGCTGCATCTTCCATGTCCTGTAACTGTTTTCTTAGCACTTCCCAGAAGGTACTGGGGGAGGGAGAAGCAGCAGCACATTTTGCCTGCGCCCAAGTAAAAGTGAGCATTGTGGAGAACAAATAAAGAAAATTGTAATTAAAGGTTTTGGGAGAAGAAAGCAAAGTAACATTGAGAATGACACGGCACGGGCTGTGGCTGAATCTGGTCTTCTGCATGCTGTTAGGCAAAGCCCAGCTGTCTGTGAACTGGCGGCAATTTCACAAAGTCATTGTCAAGGAAAACCAGAAAGAATAGATCTGGACACAGATGTCAGTCACACCGAGTGCCATGGAGTGGATTTTGGGAACCACGCAATAAGCCTCCACGTTTGGAGGCAAACAGATCCAATGACCTGCATTAGGGCAGTCTGGTCACATAAGCAAAAGCCTTTAGCAAAACTGAAGGCGTGACTCAGACCAGCCCATCAGATGTTCTGGCTCGTAAGCAAGCCATTAGTTTATTATTTTAAATGCAATGTTTTGCTCCCGTTGTATAAAAACTCTGCAGCTGAAGTAGAACTGGAAAACAAGAAAAGTGAACCAAGGTTACTTTACAGTGGCCAAGAGTTTATAGCTGAGGCGTGCTCTGGCATAGCTGAGAAAGAGCAGAGACTCCTCTGTCCTTGGTTCCCACCAGGAGAAGAGGGGAAGGCTACCGTGGCTGCTTAGTTCCTGTGGAATGTTTTCCACAGAACAACCCCAAGTACGTTGCCTTGTCTTGTTTTAGTGTCTTATCCACTGGCTGCCACCATCTCCTTATTCTGCAGTCTAATGGAGCTTTATTAAAACTGTTTTGGTGATATCAAACTAAACTTTTAACTGCAGAACGTCATCACCGTGTCCTTTCTTACTATGTACCTTCTTCAGTCACGCTTAAGCGTCTCAGTTTTTGCATCCTCTGAATAAACATTCCTGCCTCACCTCTGGTTGGGAATTACAGTGTTAGGACACCTGCTACCCAAAACTACTGTAAAAAATTACAGTGTCAACATGCGCATATGCTGGGGGGCAGGTGGTCTAGATTTGCCCCTAGACTTTAACTTTACAGGTGTTAAAGGATACTCTGCCCGAGGGTATGTCTATATAATAGTGCAGAAGTATCTGAGCTAGCTTTAATGAGCTTGCATATGTAGTTGTGGCAGCATGAAGCCCAGCACAGGCTATCATTATCATGTACATTGACACGTGTAAAGATAACGCATTTGAACAGCAGCCTTCTGAAGCATGGTCTCCAGAGCAGGTGACAGGAAAGGGTGGCTGAAAGGAGCTCGTCTCTTCAGCTCTCCTGGGAAAGGGTTCATTTCACCTAATGATAATATGCTCAACTCTCACCCGACAAGAGATTAAAGGAACTGCCTTCTGGAGGTGCCTTTGACTTAAATGTCTACCTTTAGATTGCTTAAAGTTAAGTGAGATGAATCCTGCTGTCTGTCCCTCTGCTTAAGTCTACATTGCAAACCCTTGCCGACACGGCTCCGTCATCCAGGGGTGCTTTGAGGGATGATTTGTGATCGACGTGGCTCTGCCAGCAAAAGCCTTGCGCAATAGGTGTAAATACGCAACCAGAAACACCCTGTTGGCGGAACAGCTTTCATCCCTGACAGGGAGAACAGAGAGCTGGGGTAACTTGCAGTGGCATAAGCAGAGAGGCTTCATTGTAGTTGTGCCCGGTCTGGGAGCAGCTGGCTGATGAAACCTCCCGCTATAGCCACACTGGCAAAGCCTGCCGGGGTGGCCCTGGCTTTTAACAGTGCCCCATGTGATGCTCTGACCCCATCAGCAGACCCCAGCTTTCCAGCATGAAGTCTCTAAGTGGCAGAATGCAATGTTGTCCTGTTTGGGTGATTCCAGCAAAATTTATTGGCCATTTAAATAGCTATGCAAGGAGTTAAATATTTTCTCATATTGCAGTCTCTTACAGAAACCAACCAGTTGTGCTTTGTTTTTGTGTAGTTCAGCTGTTTTCACTATTTTGTTTTAAAAAGAGTAACCGGGTTTTCTTTAGAAACATTGTTTGAGATCTCACATCTCTATCAGAACCCACAGTGTGTGCAGATTTTTCACAATTCAAACATACTTAGTCCCTGAAAGTGCAATGTTTGAAAATTAACTCCTCTGAAGTTTTGGTTCGTGGCTTCACAACTCTCTTGCAACAGGATGCCTACGTGCCCATTTGAAGCAGAGCTGGCAATGCAGTGAAATGTTTCATTGGAGGCAGCATCATGTTTCATTTGAACTGTTTACAAATGCCCTTTGGTTTTCTTTCTTTTTTATTTTTCTGAATACAATTCTAGATCATTGGCTACAAAAACCTACTCGTAATTATGCAATGGAATATTGTTTCTTTCTGTCTTTTTTTTTTTTTTCTTAATGTCCTGATGTTCAAGGAGTTTGCAATAAATATACTGAGGCTGATCTGTAATTGCATGTAAGACCAGCCTCACAACTGTGTTTTGTAAAGTTAAGTGCCGTAAAAGAACCTGTAGGTGAAGTGGAGAAGGAGGGAAGGGAGAGAGTAAGTGGAAGAGAAGGCTTCTTCGGCAGCTGCAGCTTTGACTGGTGGGTAGTAGCTTTCAAGTAAGATTGCTCACACCTTTTTGTTTCATCTGAGTGGCAGCGTGTATCATCAGTCAGTGTATGATGGCATTTTGTTGAAAACATGCCTAGAGAGAAACTTTTACGGCTCAGCTGTTTACCTGTTCCTGTATTCATGCCTGCAATAAATGAGATGAAAAATAAATCACAGAGTCTGAGCAATTTGTAGTCAAAACAGTCATTTAGGAGGCATGGGGCAGTATGCCAACTAAAGGAAACCTCTGGTTGATAATAAAGTGAATCAACCTTCATGAAAAAGACTACGTCCTTAGGAAAAACAAAGCCAAACAACAGAATATTTCATTAAAAAACTCAGAGGGTTTTGTCCAGCTTAAAGGTATAGCTTAAAGCATGGTAGGGTGCCAGTTGTCTGTGGGGTCTTTAGTTGCTGAACACAAGAGCTGGAAAAACACTGATGGGATTGAGGTAGAGAAACATGAAACATGGTATGTGTCTGGTCTTTCAGCTGGGGCTCAAAAGGTGGCAAAAAGCATTGCTGGAGTGGATGGGTGGGGAGCAATCTTCCATTTCACACAGAGCTGAGAGATTTCAAGTTATTAAACTGCTCCATGAAGGAAAATTAAAGAACAAGCAAAGAAAGCCTCTTTGTTGTAAATATTTTTTTTCTTTTAACACAGTTGCAACTTTTCACTCAGATTTTTGCTCTTGATTTTGCCATTCTTTAAATGACTGAACAAAAAATTGCTTCAGAATGAAAGATTTCCATTTTATTTTGTTGGAAGATCTCTAAATCAGGATGGTTTTGACATTGACTTTACCAGTGCATTTATGAAATAAAATCCCAGTAACATTCACCCCATTTTCTGTGGTGGCCACAATGCTATGTTTAGAAAGAATATGATCCCATCTCAATTTCTCCAACTGGGTATTCATCTATTTTTAATCTCTATGCAGGGAAAGCAGGGGGAGGTACAGATCAACATTCTTCCATCAGTGCTCAATTTACACCAAGAAAATTGATTAGCTAGCCAGTAAA